CTCTTGACTCCGGGTCTGACTGCGACTCTTCTATTTGCTCCATTACACAGGGGAACGTCTCCAGTGCCTCGCGGTAGAATGAAGATACTGGAAACGTCCTGGAATTTGTCATTTTAACTTTTATGCTATTGGCAATCTTATTCTTAAACGAAGATTTTTGGGAGGAAAGTGTTCCTGCATGTCGGTTTTACTAAGGGGAATGGAGGAAAGAGATGCAAACTAAGGAGGGGTTTCAACTTCACCCTGAGGTCAAGGTAATTGTGCAGTAACGAGGTGGACAGACCCAGAGCGAGTCGGGCTCACAAGAGCATGAAAAGCCAGGGTGAAGGGAATCATCGAGGGTCACAATCAGAGGTCACTTAGGTGTCCCTCCCCACGTGGAAATGTATTCTGTGCTCCCCTTCTTCGGACCTTGGGGGACACTGAGTTGTTTTCCTAAGGGAGTCAGTTCCTTAGTGGGGGCAGCCATGGGGGTGTCGGGCCAGGGTCTCCAGCATCCGTGGCCCCCTGCCCCTCTGGGCTTGGCTTCAGTGATTCCACCCGACATGCTGTGCCTGCTGCGGGCCCCACCACTGCCTGATTTTGGGTCCCCACCTCTTTTTGGCAAGGCATCATTGTTGCAAGGCAGTCTGTTCACCAGCCAGCACAGCCCCTCCTTGGCGGCAGTCGGGGGTTGGGGGTGGGTGTAGGGGTGGCATGCTGTGGCAGGAATTCCACAGATAATCTCTGTTCCCAGAAGCTCCTCTGGTGCCCTATTGCAGAGCCATGTCCAAGGCCTTCCCTAACGCTCTAGGATGTCCCCAGATGCCTTAGGACTTTAGCTAGCTTCACCTCCTTTCTCAGGGATGCTCAGGGTCCAAGCATAAATAAAAATGATGACTCACCAACTGAATGTTTAGGCCTTTGAATGCTTATTCCCTCCCCTTAAAGGGGGTTATGCAACCGGTGCCCAGAGCAGATGGCCAAGGGGAGCCATGTGCCCTTAGAGACTGTCAAAGAGCAAACGTTCCAAAATGACACCTCTTCCACCAGAGACAGAACCTTTGCTCAAACTCACTCTTTTGCCCAGTACCTAACCATAAATAGTTTGTTGAGTCAGCACAAAGAGTGAATGTGACCTCTTTTATCTATTTATATAACAGGTTCCTCTACCCAAGTGTCTCACCAGTTTTCTTGACTTTACAAATAGTCGCTTTTCAATGACCTGTGCCAATGGAATGCAGTAGTACAGTCGATCCAGGTCCCCAACCATGGATATTTGGCTTTGGAAGGAATTTCAATACTTAAATATGGATGTGGGTGTCTCTCTGTACGAATGTGATCACCAGTGATGGAAGCACTCCTTAGGGGCTAGGAACATCCCTCTCCTGCCCCCAGATGAGCTCTGGGAGCATTTTATTCCGCACCATTTTATTCTGAACAACCCTCCAATGGTAGACAGATGGTAAAAGGGACTCATTCTTCCCCTCCTTGCATCCATCCCTCTTCCTCTCTCACGCTGCAGCTCTTCCCGCTTAGAGCAGGGGGTCTGTCTCCCCCAACTCTTGAACCTGGCCTGCCCCTGTGTCTTGCTTTGGCCAACAGAGTGTGGCAGAAGTCACAGCATACCAGTTTGAGCGTTGGCCTCAAAAAGCCTGGCACACTTGCTCTCTCAGAAACCTGCCACCACCAGAGAGCAAGGCCAGACTAGCTTGCTGAAAAGATGAGGGAGCACATGGGGAGTGTTTAGTCTGGCCCCACTAATCCCAGCCAGCAAGCCAGCCAGCCAGCCTGCACATGGGTAAGCAAGTCTTACCAGGCTCACCCAGGCCTGAAGAACCAGCCAAGCTGAGCCAACCCACAGAATAAATGGTGGTTGCTTTAAGCCACTACGTTTTGGGGTGCTTGTTACATAGCAGGAACCCCTTCCTCCTGCCACAGGAAGGTTCGAGTACATCACATTCAAACTGCTCTTTGCACTTACAAGTAGAGAGAGAAATGAATTCTTCCTTCTTCTGGTAGTGGAGCTAAATGTGGGCAGGAGACCCTAGAATCCATTTCCCTTTCAACTCTTTCACTGCACAGCCAACCTGAATTTAAAAAATTTTCTTATGAGATCAACAACAGATACATTGTCAAAGCAAAGCATTTTCTGTCCCAACTCTGTTGTTGAGGGTTCCACCGATAAGAAATAACATAACCAACATTTGACACCACAGCGGACCACAGAGATCAGGAATAAGTCACATCAATTATTTTACAAAGAGCCCTGTTCAAGCAAGCCATGAAAAAAAAAAAAAAAACAACTTTTATGGTGAACTCTAAGTTTAATAATCTCTTTATCACATTCCCCCCAAATTTTTCATTATTGTCTTCATTTTATTATGTTTACATCTGTCATATATGTCTCTGTAATACATAGACACAGACCTCTATTTGCCATACATTTCTACCACTTAACTGTCTTTGGATCAATATCGAATGTAGGGATCAGGGTGGGAAAGAATACCACCTTTTTCTGAAAGTAGATTCTTATGTATTTATTTAGCACCTTTTATTGAAGGAGCTCAAGATACTTAAACATTCACTGTAACATCCTTTTGTTTTCTCTGGGTAAGCGTCAAAAATGATCACTAGTGCTTTTTTATACAAAGAAATATGAAAGCACAGAAAAGTAGTATCATGAGATGATGATAGTCACGGTAGAGACTCGGGTCTTTAGCTTTAGCATTCTACTCTGTGAACCACATTTTGTCTGTTGAATACACTCCATATCAAAAGGTATAGTGGTTTCTTCCATTTTTATGACATCTCTCTTTGGATGGATGTTAACTAAATGGGCAGGACAGTAAATTCGCACAAACGAATCATCCCAGCAGTGCAGTTACTTCCTGCAGCTTTTTATGTAAGCTAAGAAGTCCCATAAATTATAGAGCTACCCTCTGCTTCTCCATTAAAAATTATAATTGAGGGGCACCTGGGCAGCTCAGTCGGTTAAGCATCCGACTCTTGATTTTGGCTCGCGTCGTGATCTCAGGGTGGTGAGATGGAGCCCTGAGTCAGGCTCTGCACTGGGTGGGGAGCCTGCTTAAGATTCTCTTTCCCTCTCCCTCCCTCCACCCCTCCAATCATGCTCTCTCTCTCTGGAAAAAAAAAAAAAGTCATAACTGACTGCTACTATTCCAGCATTTCCAAGAGATCTGCAACCAGTAAGGAGAAACCAGTGACCAATGGTCATTCCTTCAGCTGGGCCCCTTTGGCCATTTAAGTCTGGACACTGACCACTATTAGCACTCTTAAAACCTACCAGATCCACAAAATTAATTTTAATGTGCTTAGATATTTTAACTTTTTTTTGGTATATGAGAATACTCACTGACCACAACAGATGGAAGAACCCAGGTACTTCCTTTCAATCTGACTCACGCTGCGTGTTTCCTCACAAGCGGGCTGATCTAAGAGAAAAGTATCTCTGCGATAAGTTTTCTTAAATTCACAATACGAGGATTTGGTTTTTAAATAAGATGCTTTGGAAAATAGCAGAAGTGTTTACCATTTCTACAAGGCTAAATTACAGATGCACAATTATTTAGGACGAAAATAGGGTCTACGGCCTAAACACACTTATGCACTTCTTATCTAGAAAAAGAAAACACAAATTAACATTTCAGCTTTACCCCTTCTTTCTTTTTTTTAAGATTTTATTTATTTACTTATTTGAGAGAGAGAGAGCAGGGGGAAGGGCAGAGGGAGAGAAGGAATTCCAAGCAGAGTCAGAGACCCTGAGATCATGACCTGAGTGGGAACCAAGAGTGGGATGCTTAACTGACTGAGCCACCAGGTGCCCCATCCCTTCTTTCTTGAATTTCCCTGGCAGCTGCTTTTCACCCTGTACTCAGGCTGTCCTGTGTCCTATTCATTTCTCACGTATTTTTGAGAGAGACATCAAGCATAAGAATGCCAAGCTGCAGCAACTTGGATTTTAGACATTTAGTTACCAAAGTACCTGAATGCCTCTGCTGGAATGAGTAAATACATTCTCCTCAGGGGTGAGCCATTTTTGGGGTGAGGGAAAGAAGGACACATTACAGCTTAGTTCTGCCTGCGGATTGACAGAAACTTAAAAACATTCAGGGGGAAAGCAGGGTTTCCCTTTTTCCTTCCTTAAAAAAAAAAAATAAAGAGAACACAGAAAATTTTGCAAAGACGAAAATCCTCTCCATTTGCTCCTGAGCGTCCCTCTAGGCTTCACAGTCCTGGCCTTTTCACCAAAAGTGCTTAGTACAGACCTCCCTGCCTACCCCGCCCCCCCAAAAAAACCCATCACCAAAACACAGGCAACCTACTTTCAAGAAGGGGTGCAAAAGAAAATATATAAAGACCAGCACCCTTAGGAGTATTTTCAAGAGAACCCTTACAGAGTAAAAACAAAAGGGGGTTAGAGTATTAAGAAAAATGTTATGGAAATGAAATACAAATATAAGGGGAAAAAACGGACCCAAAGAGAACAGAACAATCATTAAAACAGATGCCATAAAGAGACAAACTACTGATGAAATGATAATGGGGAATAGGAGGGGACGGAGGAAAACCCTAAAAGGAGGTAAAAAGTGGAGCGTCGTGTACCTGTGTCATCAGTTGATACGTGACTGTGGGTATCAGTAAATAGTCATAACAACTGCAGGTTTTTAAAAAGTGCCCGATTCTACAAAGAGCAAGGTGGGCGCTGAACGTCAGGTCATTTGACGCGGATGTACCGAAGGGAGGGCCGTCAGCGAGCAGATCCGGGCCACCGCCCCGCCCAGGCGCAGGAGCGCGCTGTCCCCAGGCCCCGCCCAGGCGCAGGTGCGAGCCCCACCCCCGGCCCCGCCCAGGCGCAGGTGCCCCTGGCTCCCGGGCGGGGTAGAGACCCGGCCCCTATGGGGCCCGCGGAGGCCAGGCTGGAGACGCAGAGGTCGGCGCCCGCCGCCAGGCAAGGCGGCTCCGAGGGGCGCCGAGAGCCGCTGCGGGTCCCCCGCCGCTCAGCGCCTTGCCCCTGTAGCGCCGGTCTCGGCCTCCCCCTGCTCCTGCACCGGCCGCGAGGCCTTATCGGGCCCAGGGGCGCCGCGCTCCTGCAGCCCCCCGCCCAGGCGCGCGTCCAGGCCCGCGCACGGGTCCGGGAAGCGCGACCCGAGTCCGGCGAACGAGTCGCAGCGCGGCGGGCTCTCCTCCTGCACCGGGCGGCCCACCGGCTCCCCCGCGCCGCTGCCCGGCCCTGCCGGGCCCTCCTGGGAGTTCTGGCTGACGTAGACCACGATGATGTCGCCCTTGAAGTTCATCACCTGCCCGCTGGAAATAAACGTGGAGTTACTGTTTCCAGTCACATTTCCTACAAGGGGAGAGGAAGAGAGAACACGCAGAAGGTGAGTCATCAATTCTTGATGAGAACTTGGTCTTGTGAGAGGGAAGTTTCCCAAGGAAACAGGCTGTTCCAGCAGCGGCCTCCCCTCACCGACACCGTCTCTAGAGTGCATCGGACACTCCCACTGGTTCCTTCATTTGTCAGCTCACCAGGACCGACTGAGGCAGAGGAAGGAGGGAGAGAGAAGGCAAAAGAGAAGCAAGACTACGGGCCATGCTCCAGTTTCGTCGTCTGCCACATGGGACTCAGGATACCGGCAGGAGAGCACATCAGGTGTTAGACTGTAACAGGTGCAGCCATTACCTGGGAAAGGGTGTGCGTGCGGGAGATCCACAGGCCGCAAACAGCCAGTGGCCTGGCTGTGGCCAAGTGCATCAGTAAGGGAACGCACCGCTGGAGGGAAGGTCGTTGCCTGATAGGACCCTGGAGCCCACCAGCTCAGCCTCCCCGGTGACCAGATTGTCACACCTTTGGACCTTCCACGGAGGTCCCTAATAGTTCAGCCCTGGAGGGCCATGGGTTCACCCAGGCTCAGTATTTAGCAGCGGTTAAATCAATTTCCTTAACACCTTTAACTCCTGGAACAAAAGAGATTCATAAGACTAAAATGGAAAAAAGAAATCCTATAAATCACTCTTTCCTTCTGAACCCTGAGGGTGATTTGTCCCTAGGGGGTCTACCATCACTTCTTTGTGGGTGACTAGATTTGACCAGTCTTGAACTGATGAGCCTTTTGGGAAACAAATAGAAAGTTCAACAAGTGTTAGGAAACTTGCTACCCTTACTACTCTTCTATTTTAAAAATTGATACTCTAGAAATGTCCCAGGTGAAAATAAATGCCATAAACCAAGCAGATGCAGAAATGTCCCAACACTCAGTATCAGAAACAGAATCTTTCATTCTGACGAGAAGAGATGAACATCAAAATGGCTCTTCACTGTTAACTTCATCTTTTTTTCTCATCTACTGTGACCCAGCTTCGTAATAATTTATACAAATTAAGTTTCTATCACCACTCCACAAGAAGAGATTTTCCCCAAGTTTGGAAGGCATGTTTTGGATGGTCTGACTAAAATACCAACAGCCTACAGGAAATCCCATTGGGGAGCCTCCCCTCCACCCACAAAGTACCTTCAGAGAAGCTGAGATGGAGGCCCAGTGACCCAGGAAACTATAAGGATTTTAAATGAAAACAGATTTCAAGTGTGAGCAACAAATCAAAAAGATTTATGACTCATGCTATTTCTCTCATAGGCAGTTGTATGGGGTATATTTCAAGATGGTGGTGGGGATTTATTTGCCTAATGACCCCCCACCCAAGCAACAAGGGGGAGGCCAGCTAGTGTTTCCATTCACCAGCTAGCTGGATCACTCCATGGCCTCTGAAATATACCAACAGGTGCTCCTAACATACGGTGTACTCTACGCTAGGAGTCTACTTTCTAGTATGTCAATGCCTTCCTTCTCCCACCAGTTACCGAGTTAGTTCTCAGTTCTGTTTTTACCAGTTGAACTCATTAGGAAATCTAATTAACTATATATTTTGTAAAGTGGTGAAATGTAAGTGATAAAAAAGGGGAACTGTTTCTGTAAAAACTCAAGTGAATGCAAGACCCAAATAAAAGTGAGTCACACTCAACGCAAAACAAAAGACAACATCCACAAACGGCTGAACTGGTAGGTAAGGAGACGTGGGCAAGAGAACTGTTGAAAAAAGATACAAAACAAAACACATGAAAAGGGCAGAAGGATCTTGGACTCACATCTGCTTTGCAAATGTCTACAATTTCTCATGCCACACTAGAGACAGAGAGAGTGGAAATTAAGATCACGAGGTTAATGTAAAAAAAACTATCATCAGCCAACACATATGGCCCTTTACTAAAAATAATCCTTGTGAATGTTAAGTTATGTTTTAAGTTTAAAAAGATGCCCAAGATATGGGCTTGTAAATGACTCCTCCAAGTAACTCAGCAACTACTGACCCAGTGCTGGTACCGGGGCCTCTCCTGTGGCAGCAGCAGGAGTGAGACCGCGACACGGAAGTCCTCCCAGTGGAGAGATCACTAGTTAACAGAAGTCAAAGCGAGAGGGGTGCCTGGGTGGCTCAGTCGTTAAGCGCCTGCCTTCGGCTCAGGTCATGATCTCAGGGTCCTGGAATCGAGCCCCACATCGAGCCCCGCATCGAGCCCCGCATCGGGCTCCCTGCTCCGCGGGGAGCCTGCTTCTCCCTCTCCCACTCCCCCTGCTTGTGTTCCCTCTCTCCTGCCTCTCTCTCTCTGAAATAAATAAATAAAATCTTAAAAAAAAAAAAAAGTCGAACTGAGAAATTAACAACAGTATGAAGATACCATCAACATTCTATTCTAATTTACACCATGTTTGTTTAATAAAAGCGATTTAAAAAGCTGTTTAAAAGTATGATTTTCTCAGTCTATTACTAAAACATCAGTGACGGCTGGTTCTGTTGATCTCAGTAGAATAATGGAGAGCTAGCAGAGGGCATCACTAGCCCCTGTGTGATTGACTTATGGCTTTGAATTTAATCTCCCATCTTCTTCGTCCTCTTCATACGGAGACTTATCTACTGATGTCATGGTATAGATGACTTCTCCATCATTTTAAATTTTATTTCCCAACAAATCATCCTCATTAATCCACACGCTGTTGTTTACCTTCTTCCTGGTCAGAATCTTCAGTTTGAGCTCAAGTCAAAGCTCATTTTTTCTTATCATCTTGCACATCAAGATCTTGTTTAATTATTCACATTAAGAATTTCATCCCATGCCAATTTACCTCGGGGCAAACAATATCTTTGCTATATCCCATAGGATCTATATTCTTTTTTTCCATCTAAAATGGAACTCAAATCCTTTCGCCTAAGATATATTTGAACATTTCAGGATCCTCTGACTCAGACTGGATCAAGAATATTATTCTTTTGGGGGTGGGGGAGGGACAGAATGGGGGGTGGACAAGAACAAGGCCTTTAATTTCCTGATAATTGGGATGTAAAGAAAAGGTATCTAGAAAGAGTATAAGATTCTAAAGCAATTTTATTCTTCACATTTTCTTTTTTCTTTTTTTACTCAAGGTACCATTAATGACAAAAACCACCTTCGATCAAGTCCAAGCCCATTCTGTACATGCCGACTTTTATGAGAGTAGTAAACTGGTACAGACTGAACTTCCTTAAAAAGCTCTACTGATCTGCCAATGACATAAGTGGCTACAGAGCTGTCTTCATGGGCACATGACCCATCAGAAGGCCATGCTTGATTAAATGCTCTGCTGTCATCGTCTTGGATTTCTTATTAATTTTTGCACATGGACACCTCGTGTTTTCATTTTTCACTGGGCTCTGGAAATGATGTAGCAGGTCCTGAGTAGCAGGCAGCTCTTGGGAGTATTGCTCTGGGTTCTTCCCCCACACCGATGCTTTAATTCAGTGTCACTCTTTTTGGAGGTAACCTCTTATAAGTTGGATATCTTTCAGTATCGCGGAAGTGTTTGTGAATCTGATTTTCTGTACTGATAAAGAACTCAATGTTTGGGAAGACACTGAGTCCCAGAGGCTACCTACGGTGCCCTTCCCACACGGATCCTATGATATGTTTCCCTGATGTTCAAAGCCACTTGTCATTTGTTGTGAAACGTTCGACACCAACTTTCTGGTATAGCACTGAGGCTCGTCCCTTTAAGAAAAAGTCTAGTGATGGTATCAATGATACCTTTGTTGCTTTGCCTATAGTCTAGAGTCTTGGTTTCTTTAAAGTGGAATGAGAACCAAGCCACCTGCCAAGCAGTCTAAGTGCAGAATCCTACTAGAGTTGTCTTCCCTCAACGTTCATAGTTGTCTCACCCACCTCAGCTTCAACAGCAAAAAGATTTTAGCAACTCATTCTTTGAATAGTCCCAAAGCACTGAACGGTTTTCACAGAAGCAGTTCTCATGCTTTTCAAACTCACTTCTTTTTACCAGTTCACCAGTTTTCATAGGATCAACTCGCAGTACCGGGACAGGGAACACCCATGGATTTAGTACGCACAGCCATTCACCAAGTGGGAGCAGAAGGGCCTGGGTGTTCTAGAGGGATCCATTAGGTGTGAGTAATCAGTGTACTGTGGGCTTACTCTACAGAGGGAGAGAAGAATGTGTGCTAATCTATGGTTAGGTGTGCACCCATTATAGTAACAATAGTAATGGAAACAACGGCCCAAATCCAGAATTTATTGAGTGCTCCCTCCACGCCGGGCTGGCTGCATTGCAAACACCAGCTCGCAGCTACTTTGCATGGGAGCTTTCCAGGCTGGCTTCTTTCTCCCCTCTCTGCCTTAAGGAGGGAAACTGTCAAAGAGCCTTCTTTTTTCATGGCTTGTCTTAATGCAGACTCACCTGCCAGTCATCTAATGATGTCAATGTCATCCTGATTTTGTGGTCTCTGAAGAGCAGAAGGTGCTCTCTGCTGACTAAAGGGATGAGGTTTCAGTCCAGGAGGGTAAGAAGTGGGGAGGGACAGAGGAGAGAGCAGGGGTCTGGAAGCTCTGGTCTGGTCCTACTCGGCCCTCCCTAGCTGTGGGATTTGGGACAAGCCACCTAACAACCTCTCCAGATTTCGCTCTGCTCGTTTGTGAAATGAGAATCAAGTTTCAAGCCCTGCTAGCCTGGCGGGTGCGGCCGCACAGAGTAGCACACAACACCTGTTAAATGAAAGAAGAAATGAATGAATGAATACCCGCAGGATGGCGTAAGGGTCAAACAAGGATGGATTTGAAAATGCTCGGGGAATGGCAGGGAATCAGTCACAGGGACGCTGATGGCATTACTACTCCCGGCAGGTGGACCTCCCAGGGAGAGAGATGGGGGAGGGGGGGATGTGCTGGGCAGTAATGTTATTTTTCCATCCGTGTCTTGTTGGAGGATCTCAACATGTCTTAAAGACAGAGAGGGCACTTTCCTCCAGAAA